CAATTTAAATTATTTTAAAGCCACACAACATTCTGGTTGTTCTAGCTATACTGTAATGTTTTCTTGAGACTGAAATATTGATTTTTACATGTGAACAAATATCATCAAGGGTTATATCCATGAATATTGTCTCCAGAATTATAGAGGGTGGGGGTAAGGCGAGGGGGTATGAAGAAGCAGCACTTAGTTATATTATGTGGATAGTTTATATAGAAGAGCAGTGGAGGAAGGAATATATTCATAGACAAGAGGCCCACGGGCCTTATAGGTCACCTGAGCATTATGCAACAACTTTCCAGTTACAGTGTATTGAATTTGATTCATGTTTTAAGCCAGATGCTATATGGCATTCACAATTTTGAAAGGGCACCATTGATCATCATAACAATAAACTTAGCAGTTGTTTAGCTTGGTTACTGAATACCCATACACAGGGTAGGGGAACAAAAATGCACTCCAACTAATCAGTAATATTCATCAATAATCAGTAGTGCCCCTAACACTCTGACATAAACCCCTAACCCTAGGTTGCATAAATTTTTAAAAGGCACCCTGAAAATTGCCTATCAAAAAGTAAATAAATGTTTTATAAATACAAAGGACCAGATTTCAAACAATTAATTCATTTTCAGTATATAAGTAGAGCCCCCACCACTGACCCTGGGGCCTTGAAATTCACAATTCTGCAAGATTTGGGCCCTTGCTCATCATAACTATATAGGTAGTTCATCTGCTTCATACCCAGAGACAGAGAAGAAAATTTTCAAAGATTTAATGTATTTTCACTATATAATCAATAGAGTCCCACCCTAACACCAGAACCCCAGACCCTGGGGCAATGAAATTCATAATTTTAGAAGAGGCATTCTTGCTCATCATAACTATGCACTTACTTAGTTTATTTAATACCTAGGAGCAGAGAAGAAGATTTTCAAAGAATTCATGTATTTTCACTTTATATACAATAAAGTCCCCCAATCAGAACCATTGATGTTGGGGCCATAAAATTCAAAATTTTTGTAGAGGAATAAAGCCCCCCCCCCCCCACCAGAGCCATTGATGCTGGGCACTCTTGCTCATCATAACTATGCACTTAGTTAGTTTATTTAATACCTAGGAGCAGAGAAGAAGATTTTCAAAGAATTCATGTATTTTCACAATATGATCAATAGAGCCCCCCCCCCCCCCCCCACACACACACCAGAACCCTTGACCCTGGGGCCAAAAAATTCACAATTTTGGTTGAGGCACTCTTGCTCATCATCACTATGCACTTAGTTAATTTATTTAATACCTAGGAGCAGAGAAGAAGATTTTCAAAGGATTCATGTAATTTCACTATATAATCAATAGAGCCCCCCCCCCCCCCCAACACCGGAACCCTTGATGATAGGGCCATTAAATTCACAATTTTGGTTAGCACGCTTGCTCATCATAACTATGCACTTAGTTAGTTTATATAATACCTAGGAGCAGAGAAGAAGTTTTTCAAAGAATTCATGTAATTTCACTATATAATCAATAGAGCCCCCCCCCCCACACACACACCAGAACCCTTGACCCTGGGGCCATAAAATTCACAATCTTGGTTGAGGAACACTTGCTTATCATAACTATGTACTTAGTTAGTTTATTTAATACCTAGGAGCAGAGAAGAAGTTTTTCAAAGAATTCATGTATTTTCACTTTATAAACAATAAAGTCCCCCCCCCCCCCACCAGAACCATTGATGCTGGGGCCATAAAATTCACAATTTTTGTAGAGGCACTCTTGATCATCATAACTATGCACTTAGTTAGTTTATTTAATACCTAGGAGCAGAGAAGAAGTTTTTCAAAGAATTCATGTAATTTCACTATATAATCTATAGAGCCCCCCCCCCCCCCAACACCAGAACCCTTGACCCTGGGGCCATAAAATTCACAATTTTGGTAGAGGCACTCTTGCTCATCATAACTATTTACTTACTTGGTTTATTTAATACCCAGGGGCAGAGAAGAAGATTTTCAAAGAAACCATATATTTTACTATATAATCAATAGAGCCCCACCCTAACACCAGAACCCCTGACCCTGGGGCCATAAAATTCACAATTTTGGTAGAGGCACTCTTGCTCATCATAACTATGTACTTAGTTGGTTTATTTAATACCCAGGAGCAGAGAAGAAGATTTTCAAAGAAATAATGCATTTTCACTATATACTTATTTAGCCACGCCCTAGCACTAGAACCCCTGACCCCAGGGCCATGAATTTCACAATTTTGGTAGAGGACTCAATGCTGATTACAATCATGCAAATAGTTTGACTGCTTGATGTCCAGGAGTAAAGAAGAAGATTTTTAAAGATTGCATTAATTTTAGTGGTTTTGGCCCCACCCCTCAGGCCCCAGGGGGGCAGGGATCATGAAATTCACAATTTTTGTTCCCCTTCACCCATGGATGCTTTGTGCCAAATTTGGTTGAAATTGGTTCAGTGGATGCAGAGAAGAAGCTGAAAATGTTCAAATGTTAACACACGACACACGACACACAACACACGACACACGACGGACGACGACGGACGAAAACGGATAGCAATAGGTCACCTGAGTTTACTCAGGTGACCTAAAAATGTCAGTTTGACTAAATACAAGTCAAAAACCTAGCTTTTGAAGCAGCTGTAAGCTAAGTTGATGCTCTCTCTCTCTCTTGCATATGTCAATTAACATACATGCATAATCCCCATATATGTAAATGTGATGTGACTCTTTCTAAGTTTATGTCAAAATTAATATACAGGTGTATATGTCATGGAAGTCTTTCTCTCTCACTCTCCCTCTCTCTCTTAGTATATCTTGAAACAATTACATGTATGACACTGCGACTTATCCTAACTGTCTTATGCTTTAGAGGTCCATCATATTTCTTCATACACCAAGACATGGTATTTTCTGTGTGTTTATTGGGTCTGTGGTGAGAATCAATAGAAGCTGATGTTTACATGAGATCAATATATCAGTGTTTGTTGTGATGGAGGGGGAAACAGTGGTCAGAGTCTGTTTATCTAGGGTTTATCTATACTGAACCACACACAACATATGGTTCACTTTAAAACATAATCAAAAACCTCCAAACTTTTTCCTGTACAATATGACTCCATGGGCATGACTCACATAAATATATACAACTAACAACTCTGACCCCCCCCCCCTCCCCAATACACCATTCTTTTTATACACAGACTGAAAAGAGAACATGAGATATGGTGGAGGAATTCCTTCTGAGGTCACACAGATCTTAGCTGTCACCATTACATAACAACAGCATGTCTACTAGCTCAGAAAGTCTATATACATACACTTACACATATGTTCAGTTAGCTTGAAGACAAAAGTTTCACATTACACCTTGAGCATGTGAAGTTGATCAAGTGCACTAGACTGTTTATAAACATTACAAAATAAGATAGAAAGCTTTTAAATAACCCAGCTATCAATTCACACACACACCTTGACCTCCCCCACTCAGGTGAAAACAGTTACCTGTATATCCACCTGTATCAGTTAAAATCCCCATTCATAAAATCCAGGTAAATCTACACACACACATATATACAGTATCCTTGGATTACTCCAATCTCTCTATCCTTTATTCATCCTTCAGTTGTTCTGTCACTCTTCTGATACACACAGAACAGCTGTCTACACACTGACTGATCTCTACAGTTTATCTCCAGTGTGCTAAGGGGCCTCACAATGCCTCAGGGAGAAATGTCTGCGGTAATCACCCAGTTATAACCAAATAATCTAACACATCAGCGCTCCATGCATGTCTGTCTGACTAATATAATGCCACAATCAAACAATTATTCTCAGGTGTGTGCAGGTCTTTGTTGTTCGATGATTCTCATATACACTGTATACAAAGGACCTCTGTCCATTATGGCATTCTCTTTCTTTACCATTTCCTTTTGTGATATTAAATCGTCACTTCTCCTGAGCAGATGTTAGAGTGGTAAAGCTGATGAACAAGTCTGAATAATTGATTATGATGCTGGTCATTTTCTCCCGAGTTTATTAACTCACTATGACAATTCTTTATAACCATGTTAACTATCTACAAAGATGTAGCTATTTTATCTATATTTTATGCAATGCATGTGTCTGTGCTCAGCATATAAATGGCAGGATCTGTTCTTTGTTCAAAAGGAAGTCAATTAAAACCAACTTTTGGAATGTCAGAGGAATTCCTTTGAGTGCTAGCCGGTATAATTACATTACAGTAACCCAGCCTTTTATTGATTTCTTGACACATATCTTGATGAGTGGCTCAGTAGAAAATGGATTGTTACTATAAGAATCATAACTCAAACCTGGCTGTAAGCACTTAATAATTACTGTTCATCTTAGAAAAGAAATTTGTTATGAATTATATTAATTAGCTATATCTCCTCATAATTCTTTATTCATCTCATATGAAATAATATTTATACTATTTAAGATTTTCTCTTAAGATTTATTGCAAATTAGAATATGTGGATTTCTTGTGTCATGATCTTCCCTTGGGTACTAACAATTTTGACCCTTTGACCTTCTTTGACCTTAGAGTTTGACCTACTTCTGAAAAACTTGAACCTTGGTCATTACTTTTGAATGGTTTAGCTTTCATATTTTATAGGTAAAATCTTTGTGGCAAGACCTTCGTTTGGTTATCAAGATTTTTTATCTCTTGTCCTTGAAATTTTGACATGCACTTGAGAGAAACTTTAACCTTCGCCCTGAGCTGCTATAACGTGGCATGAGTGTTTCACAAAAACATCTTGTTTTGTATGTAATAAATGCATATCATATCCTTTAAGGAGCATGATATTCCAGGCAAAATGAGTATCTTAATTCTCAAGGTAAATAGCACCCAGTCTCCCATCATGCTCAAAGAACCATCTCTGCACTGTATAGTGGTCCCAATAGTTTGTGCCCCCTACCCCAAAAAAAATGATAAAGTGTGACCTGTCTGGGAATGTCTAAGGTCCTTTTTCTGCTCTGTCTCTACTGGGTGACCTATTCATTCTCTGTCTATAACAAGATGACATGATGACCAGTTTGGCTAGTTTCAGCTGCCAAAGTGGGTACACAGGGTCTCCTCTGTCAGTCTCCAGATCCTAAAGCTTGTTGGTGTTGGTAGTACACATTATTATAAACAGCCTCAGTAGGAATGATGTATACTTGTACCAAGTCAGCAACTTCATCGTTCACTTCAATTTCCCAGCTAGTCCATTCAATTTCATAAATTTACTACATACAACAGGTACTTGTGTATCTTTATAGTTGTCAACTGATGACAGAAGCAGAAAGCAATTCTATAGATCTATATCTACATCTTAAACAATGTGCATGGTGAATATTTTACCATTTCAGACTTTGCAGTTCTGAGACGAGGGAAACAACTCTTATCCACTTATTACTCCTTATCTGTGTCTCTTAAGTAAATGTTGCTAAAAATCCCCCAAACAAACAAACCCTATGATAAAATGTAAAATACCGGTACTTCTAACCTGTACCTGTTGACTCCTCAGACTATAACGGTATGGTACTTACATCTGTCTAATATCCCCGCTGTGATCTGGGCTATATCTGGATTATACCTGGATTAACACACACTAATATTGAATGTGTGATACTTACATCTGTCTCATACTCCATGACCTGGAATTCCAGCGTCTCCACAAGATCCCTGGATTCATCCAACTTCTCCCTCAGATCACCGCAATCCAACTCCAGCTGCTTCACCTACATCAAACATAAAGTCATCCGCAATTAGTCTGATGCGAGTCCCTCTCTAGACAAGATCTGTGTTAATTCTGATGTTTAATTTATAGAATTTTATCTTACCCTTTCTGTCAACTTGATATTCTTCTCTTGTATCTCACTTTTTTTGGATTCAACAGCAGTCAGTCTCTACAATAAGTACACAGAGATGTTCATTTACATGCAGATCAGCAGAGAGGTGTATTAATTCATTTACATGTACATGATGTACATGTAGATCAGTATGGGATAGTCTATCAAATTTTCCCTCTCCCCTTATTGGAATTTCATGCAATAGATTCCACGATGTCCTACGGATTTTGTGATAAGTTATGGAAATCAAGCAGTCAGTTATATTTTAAATCAGCTAATCATGGAGACATAAATGAGCAACAGCCAATCATGCAGTCATTAAGTTACATACTTTAGTCTGATATCAGCCAATCATCACATTAGTGACATCTGACATCAACCAATCACACAGTGAGTTTTACACTTACATTTGATTTCATCCAATCATGCGGTTAGTTACACACCTTTGTTTGAGTTTCATGCAGTCATGTCTCAAATGATTGTCCATGCAAATATCTAAAAGAAATCAAGCAAATAAATTCAATAAAATTCACTGCTATTTTTTTCTGTAGTATTGCACCAAAAATTGGTGATCAGAAATTGTAAAGCTGTTTAATCTCATGCAACCATGTTAAATGAAGCAATCTTTGCAACTGTAGAAAATTGGTAAGTTAGTGAAGATTACAAAAACAATTAAAGTATTAAACTTACTACATAAAAACATCCATTCATTACAGGTTTGTTTGATATATGTGTAGTTTACTGTACATGTACTAGCTTATCAAGATGCTGGTTGGTTGAGTGGCGCAGTGGTTAGAGAGTCTGCTCTAGAGTTGCGAGGTAAGGAGACAATCCTTACATCGTGGTTCGAATCCCACTGTGTAACGTGGAGACAGGTCTTTGGATGAGACTGTATAAACCGAGGTCCTGTGTCGCAGTAGGTGGTGGCACGAAAAATATCCTTTCCTGCTCAATGGCCCTGAGTGCTGAGTACAGGACAAAATTTGCAGCTCTCCACTGGCAAGTGGGGCGTCTCCATATGAGTGAAAAATTCTCCAGAGGGATATTGAGCAACATGCAATCAATCAAGCAAGCAATGCTGCTAGAAAGGCATCTATTTGGTAACATTATATACAAAGAATAGATCATTTATGTATTTCAAGGTTATAAATACCAATTCTTGGCTTTTCTATGGAAGAGAGCAATGAATTATTTCTGAGGTTTAATTTGTACAGAGAAGATTACCTTGCTTGTGTCTGTTAATTCTTTTGTCAGTTTCTCTATCTGGCATTGTGACTGAAAAAGGTTTGTTTCCAAGTCCACTCTCAGCTGATCAATTATAAAGCAGATTATTGATTACACACTTATTAAATTTTCTCAATCAAATTAGAAGCAGATGTATATAAAAGATGTTCAAAATATTGATGAAAACACAGTAAATTTTCTCATTCAAGTTAGAATTTTGATATCTGATAGAATTTTTAACTGTAGGGCTTGTGAAATGACACAAACCATCTTATGACTAGAAAATCCATGCGAATTAATTTTTCATATATTTCAGCATAATTAAAATGGATTCCCAATACTCCACTTACTTAACTAGACAAAACAGAGGGAAGCAGTTTGTAACTGACTAAATAAATGACCTTCACCTTGAGTTCTCTTTGAGGGTCAAGGTTAGTTCCACACTGTGAGGTCAATATGGTATGCAGTCTTTGAAGTTCTAAGTGTTCCTTCATCAGCTTCTGGTAATTTTTCTCTATCTCTGATCGAGACAACTAAAAAAGATCAATAAAATAAAAATCTCATTTTTATTGAAAGGGTAACAGATAGATAACAAATATATGCAATTATTTTTTTACAACAATAACCATCTTTTTGGTTAAAAAAACCAATCATAATAACCTCTGGATCTGACATATCCCTTACTTTTGTAAACATAGACTATTGTAAAAATCTCTCTATAACTCTAACAAAGTGAGAAGGGATGCAATTTTTGTCTACCTGACAGAGAAAAAGAGAGAGAAGGGTATAAATTTTTATTTCACATATATCTCTACATACAGAGAGGTGAGATTTTCTCTTAATTAATTAAATAAGAGATTTAAATATATTTAAATTAAATTTAAATACAGTTAATTCTCAATAAACCGCCACCTTCTGTAATTTAGAAATCATGGCGGTATAACGAATTTGGAGATGAATTGAATTTCCCATTGTTTAGGAAACCAGAAGTAGAGTTACCGTTCTTAGAAATACCATTTAGCCTTTCTATTCTCATTATTACATGTACACATAAAAATATATTTCTAAATTTGAAAATACTTCAAGTAATTTTTTTATGTACTATTTCGCTAAAACAAAATGTGCAGTTATGAATTAAAGACAAGTACAATCATGTGGATGCATGTAAATCTGCACGACTGATATTGAACAAAAAATGCTGGGTTAATTGATCGTTGTGATATATTGCCGATAATACGTAAAATGAATTCTTGAATAAATTCATTGTTTATGGTATCATTGTTGATAAAACGTTCACAATTGAAACGGTATAATTATTTTTTAAGCAAATTTTGCATTGTTTAAAGCAGAGATCATCAAAATAATATCATTATCTGCGTTCTTAAACGACCACCGCTTTCGAGGCAAAGCCGTCACTATTTTGTTTTCTGATTAATAAAAATCATTTTCCATGTAAAAATAATTGTTTATCTAATTCTTATTTAATTGCATGTACCTTGTCTGGCTTTGCATGCTTTACAACAGGGATAGCGTCAACCAATCAGCCGCGATTTACTGACTACATGCACCTGTGGTGGTATATCGAGATAATTGACACTTAAAATGGACGTCTGTTGTGAAAACAGGGTGGCGGATGGTGGTATGCGAATTTGGCGTTATAAAAAGAATTTTATATAGCAGGAAAAACGTTATTGGCAAATCATGGCGGTATTGCGAAAATGGCGATGATTCGAATGGCGATAATTCGAGAACTGACTGTAAATTTAAATAAGAGATACAATAATTCTGTAGTCAGACAAGACTGATAAGAGAGATAACTCTTTTGTAGTCAGACAGACAAGAGAGATACCTCTTCTGTAGTCAGACAAGAGAGATAACTCTTCTGTAGTCAGACAGACAAGAGAGATAACTCTTCTGTAGTCAGACAAGAGAGATAACTCTTCTGTAGTCAGACAAGACTGATAACTCTTCTGTAGTCAGATTGACAAGAGAGATAACTCTTCTGTAGTCAGACAAGAGAGATAACTCTTCTGTAGTCAGATTGACAAGAGAGATAACTCTCCTGTAGTCAGACAGACAAGCGAGATAACTCTTCTGTAGTCAGATTGACAAGAGAGATAACTCTTCTGTAGTCAGACAGACAAGAGAGATAACTCTTCTGTAGTCAGACAGACAAGAGAGATAACTCTTCTGTAGTCAGATTGACAAGAGAGATAACTCTTCTGTAGTCAGACAAGAGAGATAACTCTTCTGTAGTCAGATTGACAAGAGAGATAACTCTCCTGTAGTCAGACAGACAAGCGAGATAACTCTTCTGTAGTCAGATTGACAAGAGAGATAACTCTTCTGTAGTCAGACAAGAGAGATAACTCTTCTGTAGTCAGACAGACAAGATAGATAACTCTTCTGTAGTCAGACTGACAAGAGAGATAACTCTTCTGTAGTCAGACAAGAGAGATAACTCTTCTGTAGTCAGACAAGAGAGATAACTCTTCTGTAGTCAGACAAGAGAGATAACTCTTCTGTAGTCAGACAAGAGAGATAACTCTTCTGTAGTCAGATTGACAAGAGAGATAACTCTCCTGTAGTCAGACAGACAAGCGAGATAACTCTTCTGTAGTCAGATTGACAAGAGAGATAACTCTTCTGTAGTCAGATTGACAAGAGAGATAACTCTTCTGTAGTCAGACAGACAAGAGAGATAACTCTTCTGTGGTCAGACAAGACTGATAACTCTTCTGTAGTCAGACAGACAAGAGAGATAACTCTTCTGTAGTCAGACAAGAGAGATAACTCTTCTGTAGTCAGACAAGAGAGATAACTCTTCTGTAGTCAGACTGACAAGAGAGATAACTCTTCTGTAGTCAGACAAGAGAGATAACTCTTCTGTAGTCAGACAGACAAGAGAGATAATTCTTCTGTAGTCAGACTGACAAGAGACTGACAAGAGAGATAACTCTTCTGTACTCAGATAAGAGAGATAACTCTTCTGTAATCACACAGACAAGAGAGATAACTCTTCTGTAGTCACACAGACAAGAGAGATAACTCTTCTGTAGTCAGATTGACAAGAGAGGTAACTCTTCTGTAGTCAGACTGACAAGAGAGATAACTCTTCTGTAGTCAGATTGACAAGAGAGATAACTCTTCTGTAGTCAGACAAGAGAGATAACTCTTCTGTAGTCAGACTGACAAGATAGATAACTCTTCTGTAGTCAGATTGACAAGATAGATAACTCTTCTGTAGTCAGATTGACAAGATAGATAACTCTTCTGTAGTCAGATTGACAAGATAGATAACTCTTCTGTAGTCAGATTGACAAGATAGATAACTCTTCTATAGTCAGACTGACAAGATAGATAACTCTTCTGTAGTCAGACTGACAAGAGAGGTAACTCTTCTGTAGTCAGACTGACAAGAGAGATAACTCTTCTGTAGTCAGACAAGAGAGATAACTCTTCTGTAGTCAGACTGACAAGATAGATAACTCTTCTATAGTCAGACTGACAAGAGAGATAACTCTTCTGTAGTCAGATTGACAAGAGAGATAACTCTTCTGTAGTCAGACTGACAAGAGAGATAACTCTTCTGTAGTCAGACTGACAAGATAGATAACTCTTCTGTAGTCAGACTGACAAGATAGATAACTCTTCTGTAGTCAGACTGACAAGATAGATAACTCTTCTATAGTCAGACTGACAAGAGAGATAACTCTTCTGTAGTCAGACAAGAGAGATAACTCTTCTGTAGTCAGATAGACAAGAGAGATAACTCTTCTGTAGTAGATAACTCTTCTTACCTCTTCACAGAGTTCCTCATCAGACAGGGTCCCGGTCGACAGAGACAGAGAAATGTCAGAGCTGAGGGATGTGTCGTCTTCATCATAGCCATAAAATGTCTCCTTCACACCCTGTAATAAATCAGTAATTAAAAAGAGTTGTATTCTTAACTAACATTATGAGGAAGGTACTGAAAATCAAGTCCAACATTTTTCATTATTTTTATAAATTTTTACTGCATTGTGCACAAATGTATGAAAAAAAGCCAACAATTCTAAACTGTAAAAAAAAAAGTCATTACAAAAATAAAACATTTTTATGTACTTTTTTCAAGTTTATACATGCTTTGAATTTGCATGAATATACTATGCCTTTATAACCTTTAGAAAATCTTTCATGTCTTTTGGATAAATTAATTTGCTACCTTCTCATGAGGCCTTAAAGATTTTTTCTTCCTTTTTCTGTGCTGTACCAACTCTATCCTTCTGTCTTTCTCCTATAAATAGAGAAGACAATCATTGAAATGGAATCCATGATTCAGAGAGTTTTTTAATGTTTATTATAATGAAAACTTTCATGTAAATCCCTCTTTAAACAAATGTAGAAAGCTGTAAATGTATAAGCTTTCATTGACATGTATTAAGACCACTGAGTGCTATTAAGTTTTTTCTATGTTTTCTCTTTGTTGTGAGAAGAAATTGAATTGAACCATTAATGTAAGTTATATCTTATTTATAACAAATCCTTGTATTTTTTGCCAAAAGTGAAATATGCATCTATACTGGTACTTTCCCAAATTTTCTGAGATTCAAAGCACTTACTGGTATGATAATGGTCTTTAACTTACGTAGTGACTTGCATAACTCTCTTGTATATAATGTTAAAATCCTCTTACATTATCTAGGGCCTATGATACTGTACGTGTACATAAATTGGGGTATTCAAAATTTAGCGTAATCACTTGGAATGGAGTTGTTGGCGTAATCAAAGCTCTGCACATGCCTGTTCAGTGTATTGTATATGTAAATGATTTCTTAGAGGTGTTCATGAATTAACGCATTGTTGTCTGCGCCAAAGCCGTTAAAATATGATGCTTTTTTAAAGTACACATACAGAGAGTAATTGTAAGTTATAATGCCAGGTTAGTTCATGCATCTCACTAACCATGAAAAAAATTACAGTTGACAATAAAGCAATAATGACCACCAGAACAATCTCATTTCATTCATTATATACCCTGGTAGTTACTTTTTAAATCAATTGTATCTTTCTCAAATTTTTTTTCTGGTTCAAATGATTATCTCATGTGTACAGTGCAGCATACACCTGTATTTACATTTCATTGCACATCCAAGTGTATTTTGAATAAATTCAAAGTCCAACTTCACGACCTGTTGTTATCTAATATGCAGATTAAAAACTAGGTCATCCAGGTAAGAAACACCCAACAAACATGGCTGAAACTACCAACAAGAAATATCCACTGGGCTCTCCTCAAGAGCACATTATAATGTGTGAAGCTCACGATTCACCTATTGATATGGTATGTGAGGACTGTGATGAATTCATTTGTGGTGATTGTGCAAATACAGATCACAAAGATCATAAATGGAAAACTCTAACCACGGCAGCCACTCGAAGGAGAAGGGGTCTGCTTAAATTTCTGAAGAAGATCAAGGAAGGGGATCTGCCTGGGATTGCAGAGAAGATCAAGAAGGTGTCAAAACAGATCACAGAAAATATAGATTTGTGTGACTCTGAGATGAAAAAGCTTCAGAAGCACTATGATGAGATAATGGCCAAGCTGGCAGAAGTCAGAATATGTCATGGGCAAACAATAAGAGATAATTTAGATAGAAAGAATGATCAACTGAACCATGTGAAATCTGAGTTAGAGATGAAGAAGAGAGGAATTGTTGACACAGTGGAATTCATGGAAGAGAACAACAGCACCATGTCAGATTACAGCTTGATTGACAACCACAGAGAACTGATAAAAATACTGTCTGAATTGGAGGTTCATACGACAAACTGTGAACATTCAGTGAGGTTTACTAGAGGTGAAATCAATGATGATTCACTTGAGTCTTTGGTTGGAAAAACTATAGATTTAGATGATATTGGTGTGACAGAAATAAACTCATTTCAATTTGGAGATAAACCAATAACTGTGTTGGAGGCTTTCAGTGAAGAACAATGTTACCTAAGACAATCTCACACTAAATATACAGAAAAAGTCAATCAGCAAGGAAAGAAAACACAACAATTGAATATTATTCCTAATGATGTGTGTATGACTGAAAATGGTGATGATTATTTCACTGATTTGAGTAACAAGTCCATCCGCCGTCTGTCGCCATCAGGATCTGTCTCTACAGTCGTCAGTACAGATCCACTGTTACCAGGAGGAATCTGTCAGTCAGTGGACAGTGGACTACTGGTCACCTTGATAGGCTGTGAATCAGACAGTTACAAATTAGAGTCACACAGCAGACGTCTGGTGAGACACATCACAGTGACAGGTGATGTCATCCATGAGTACGAGTTCCAAGAGGACGGTCACACCAGACTGTTTATATTGCCAAGCACAGTCACACAGAATAGTAACAGTGATATCTGTGTTGTGAACTGTACAAGTGCCAATACAGGTGAACTAGTGATCATGTCTCCCTCTGGTCGTAAGAAGTTTGTCTACCGTGGACAGAACCTGACAGAGAACTTTAATCCAGCTGATGTAGTGTGTGACTCCCTCTGTAACATCCTTGTCACTGATCCACGTAACAAACAGATCCATCTGCTGAGTCCTGACGGGGAGTTCTTGAAGTTCTTACCAGACAATGAAGTGAACCGTCCATATTCACTGTCCCTATACATGTCTACACTGTGGGTGGGATACAGGGAAGGAGTCGTCAAAGTGTTTCAGTACAGAATGTAAATAGAAAATACTAATCAATTAAATTAATAGAACAGTTATTTGAAATTATATCTGTCACAGGGTGAATTATAATTAATTAATATTACTAATTATCATTCATATCATTTTCGTATCTTATTATAAGGCATCATTTTCTTATAGTAACTAGTGAATTCCGTTGTTACTACGGAATTTACTATGTTCATTCATTCATTCATTTATATGGGTGAGTGGTCAGTGAGAGTATCCGAGTGTGTGAGTGGTCAAACTGGTTTTTCTATGTCTCCTGCGAATTCGTGCCAATACTAACTTCTCGAGCACTCCAACCTTAGACTTTGGGGAGGGAAGACGCTCTCTCTCCCCAACACAACTTTATACCTTACGATATTGTGGCATTCAGTCTAGGATTACAGTAAGAAATAATTGTTAAATTATTTCTTAGTATTCAATTATTATCCAGTATCTATCTGATCATTTTATTTAAATGAAGTGATTTCAGTTCCTTTAATATTTATTAAGGTCTTCCGTCTTCAGCGGAAGACCTTCTTGTTATTCTTAGGTTTCTTTTCCACTATTTTTATTATTATTATTGTTTTTTTTTCTTACCGATTTTGTGCACGCGATTTCTCGGAAACGGCTTGCTCGATTTTCATGAAACTTTCAGGACTGATAGAACATTGAACAAACCTGATATATAATTTTTTGTTTTGATGACGTCACTTCCGGTTTTGAGATTTCCGCGATTTAGTGATTTTCAGAGGGTCACTTTGTCCGTGAGTTTTCTCAAAAACGGCTTAGGGTAGAAACTTGAGTTTTTCAGCAATGATAGAGCAATATATGTAGATGTGACATACGTATTTCATTTTCACCGGAAGTGCTGCACGCCGACGCTCGCTATGGTCCGAAAAAGGGCATGTCGAGAATTTTAAAATTTCTAACACTTTTTCTTCGATATCTTTTCACATGAAAATATTTCGTTAAGACATATAGAACAAAAGAAGTGTAGAATTACTTGATCTTTCAAACGATATCTCGAAAAAAGGGCTGGCCCCTATAATAAAGGGCCGAGAGGGGCCAAACGTTTTTCCTTTATATCTCAAAAAGTATTGAGAGTTTGTAATACATCAAAGAAGCAAAGTTGTTCAAAATGCTAAGCTGAATCTATCTGGGTCATCAAAATACATCCGACGATGTCACTTCCGGTCAAACCGGAAGTAGTACGAAAATGCATATTTTTGCCGTTCTTGACATATTTTGCGGTAACACATGTCATTGGAAGCATAAAAACTTAATTTTCCGTCCGTCGACATCACTTCCGGTCAAACCGGAAGTAGCCAAAAATAGCTTATTTTTTAAGGTTTTGACGCAAATTATAAAGTCAATGGAGACAACTTAGCTCATTGCTTTCTTTTGTTGACATCACTTCCGGTCAAAACAGGACGGAAGACCTACTCGTTGCTTTGCAACGAGCTTTGCTCTAGTTATTATTATTTTTTAAAATGTTTCATAAGTTGTAACTTTTTTAGAGTGACTCCCACGCAACGTAATTTTTTATGGCCTTTTAGTACACATAAAGTCTTTTAGATATCCTATTTTTATGCACAAATATGTATCATGTATTTTTTAAAGTAATTTGTTCGCCAGTTTGTAAGCTTATATCTATTTTAATGTGAAGCGCACTAGAGTGTCATTATTATAATGCGCTATAGAAATTATTGTATTGTATTGTATTGTATTGTATTGTATTTCTAAATTATCTAAATTCATAAGTTTAACTTATCCGCGTAAAAGTGTGAGTGAGGTGAGGAATATTCAATACATGTTTTATTATATTGCAGATCACCCTTTTTCTGTTGATAGCGTTAATTATATATAAAAGACATCGAACCCAGCAGCCGTGTTTGTTTGTTTATTTCTGCACTACAACTAAAATACCTAGACTAGGCTGTGACGATGGTGCCCACGGTGGGTTATCTGACTTCTTCTTACCTGTTATCCAATACACTGTATCATAGATTTGTTCATGTATATAGTATTACACTGTTGGGTTTGTGTTGGTAGGGATTGACCCAATCATACTTTTATACCTTATCAGTTGTTTTACTATTGCATGTTATATTTCTGTCATTTATTTACATAATGGCAGACTTAGGTAAGGAAGAATTAGGTAAGAAGATGTCAGATAAAGATGAAACAGATAAGAAAGAATCAGGTAAAGATGAATCAGGTAAAGAAACGGGAAAGATGCCATCAGCTAAGGTAGAAACAAAGGAGGATACAGGTGCAAGTCCTTTACAGCATCACATATCTGAGGTACAAAAAGATCCAAACTACAGAGTCTTAACTAAGGAGGAGTATAACCTTTTAGTAAATGCTAGTTTAAAGGTCAAATATCAAGGAAATAGATATACTTGTATATAATATATGTTGTAAACAATAGTTTAAAAGAAGGAATTACAATGTTCGTTTAATTTTAAATCTCCTTGTTTTCTTTATTTACCTGCTTAAATATCGCTAAAAATAACGTTCATCAATAGAGTTACTTCCCCTTTTTGTGATGTCATTAGAGACACTCGACAAAATCTAGTTACATAAGTATAGTAAAAAGTGCTCTTGATTATCTAAAATTATGGCAAATTTTGGGGAACAGAAATGTTGATATATCAGAGTAATGCGTAGATCTGACTGTTAAGAATAGGCTTTGTATATTTGAGTCAAGAAAGTACGCAAATTGATTATTCTTCTTCGACCGATTCTGTTTCATCCGAAGCCGGTAAGAGTGAAAGTGGAAATTAAAAATTACACAACTGACAAGGGATCATCACAGAAGCTAACGAATGTACATACATATATTTAATGCCTTTTACTGAGTGTGCTCAATATTCCAGTCAAAAATATTTAACTGCGGAAAATTGATTTTATGTGTTGTTTCTCATTCATCATATAGGACCAGGACTTTTACATTGTGAAAAAGTATAGAATTTTTTTTTACATTGCATAGCCGTTTGAACTGGGCACACGGCTATTTTTTGTGTTAAGTATACTATAATGAACAATGAGCGGAACAACAGAAATTACGTCATCGTCGGATATATATCATCCTTGGGAATCCGAAGATGCATCTTCGCCATGCGCGGATTTAGAGGAGGGGTCGATGGGGTCAGGACCCCCCCTGGAATTTCCAGGTTATTAAATCTATATACAAAAGCAAGGAAAAATTTAACTTGGACCCCCCCCCCCCCCCCCCCCCCCCGGTAAATGTGAACTTGTACACAAACACACACACGAAATAGGATTTTGAACTTTTGGCGACTTCCCGCGTTTTTTTTTGTTTTTTGTTTTTTTTTTTGCTTGTCAAGAAATTTCTGTTTTGAAAATTTTTTTTTGACCCCCCTGGGAAAAATTTCTGGATCTGCGCCTGTTCACTAGCCATCCGACACCTTAGACTCTTGTATGAATGAAGGCTAGTTTAAGCCTTTTATAAATTTATACCCTCTGATACTAAAACATAACATTCTGTTTTAGTATCAGAGGGTATGAATTTTCCCCGTCCCTAAGCACCTGTGGTAACTAAACATCTGTCTGGAACCTTTTTAATTTATGCGTAACGAGTAATTTTTACTCCCCCCCCCCCCCCATCCCGAAGTAACATTTCTTTGTTGTTGCTTTCAACGGATATTAATTGCTTCATACAGGCCTGAAAATCTTTGTCACATAGCACTTTCATTCTAAAAATATTTTAATATGAATTATTTCACCTTAATTTAGTGTAGAAAATAATGTCAAGACGCCAGCACAAGAGAAAATAAGTGCTGGAGGAATACAAAACTGCGGGCAGAAAATTGAGGAACAATCACTTGCGTGCATGAACAGTGAGGTTTTATTGTTTGAATAAATATGTAATGGAAACAATTTTAATATAAAAATTTTCTAGAAAAGGGACAACTGGAAGTAAATGAACGCATTCTTGAGTAAGTATTTTCTGAGACGGATATCATGGGCAGATTTAGAGGGGATGGGGGAATTTCCGGGACATACTAGTACCCCATCCCACTTGAATTTTTTTTTTAGACACGATAACTTGGCAGATAATCAATTCTATTATACCACACCTTCCGTTTTTTGTCAGTGAAGTTTTAGAGATTGTTCCTGAAAATTGCAAGTATTTTTTTTTCCAGCATGTTAGAGGTTTACGCCGAAATACATGTACTTTTGGCTTGGCGCCGCGTAATGTTCAGTCATGTATATACCGAGTGTATGCTCTAATGTAAAGGGCCAATATCTAAAACTTGACAAAAGCGGAAAATATAAAATATCGAAGTACATGTACTCTTGTCTTTATTGGTACAGTTAAAAGCCCACATGGCAACATCTCGCAAACAATAATGTTCTAAACACGACAATATAGCATGCACTTCCTATTTCACGCTGTCTCTGATGACGTCACGCAACAAGGGAGATAAGCGATTTACAATAAATGATCCACTTGTCACACAGGTAAGTTTAAAGGGGGAGGAAATAAGCACCTCCTTCAAATTTACCTGGTCTTAGAACCTCTGTCAATCATCTGAAATTAAGCATGGGATTGGATACTTTGATTTGATTGACATTTAGTTTGCTGCTGTTGTGTATATCTTGTGTACCTTGTCTGGAGATCGTACCGACCATCAAATTAACTTTCAAGCTTTTGATGCCTACCGCACATGCCTGAACGTGATAAAGAAGCAATCAAATCATTCTTTTCTTTTATAATTCATAAGAATATGCCATAAATATAATCGATCTATCAAATAATTAAATAAATGACAAGAAAAATCATGGCTATATAATAAATATTTTATCAATTTAATTTTAAAAGGGAGGATTTCATATCACAATCGATAATTCTAATTTCCATGTCAAAACATGAGTTAACGTACATTTATTCCTCCATTAATTACCAAAATAAACCAACCTGCGTTTGAAGCTTTTATCATGAAATTAGATAAAATTATTTTTAAGACAAGTATGACAACATTTTA